CAATCTTTCCCAGCATCAGGGTCTTTTCAAATGAGTCAGCCCTTCGCATCAGGTGGCCAAAGTATTGGAGTTTCAGCTTCAGTCCTTCCAGTGAACACCAAGGACTGATCTCTGTTAGGATGGACTGGTTGGATCTCCTTCAGTCCAAGAGACTCTCAGAAGTCTTCTCCAACACCACAGTTCAAAAGCATCAATTCTTCGGTGCTCAGCTTTCTTTATAGTCCAGCTCTCACATCCATACATGACTACTAGAAAACTTGTCATTATCATAACCCGAAATGTTAAAGCAGAGCTAGCTACTAAATCACATTGTTGATCTTATATTGAGGAGAATGGTGTACTATTAAGTTACCAATTTTTTGTCATTAATTATACATTTTTAACAGTTTTATTGAAATATAATTCACCTACCACATAATTTGCTCATTCAAAATGTACTATTTAATGACTTTTAGTATATTCATAGAGTAGTACAACCATGACCACAACCAATTGTGGGATGCTTGTCACCCCAGCTGATACCCTGTGCCCATTAGTAGTCAATCTCTATTTCTCTTCTGTGCCTGGAAACTAGTAATCTACTTGCTGTCTCTATGGGTTTGCCTATTCTGTACGTTCTACTTACATGGAATCATTATATTTGGTGTTTTATGACTGGCATATTTTACTTTTTTTAGCATATGTTTTTAAGGTGCTTTCATGTTGGGCATATGTTAGTACTTCATTTTTAATTGCTAAAAAATATTCCATTGTATGGATAATAATAACATATTTTGTTTACCCATTCATAATTTGGCAGGAAGTTTGAGTTGTGGGTTATTTTTCAGTTTTTTAAATTATTACCAGTAATACTGCTGAGAACATTTGTGTACACATGAGTTTTTATTTTTCTGGGTTATATACTGAGACTGGAATTCCTGGGTCATACAAAACTCTTCAACAGTTGAAGAATTTCCTTGTTTAGCTCTAGACTCATCTCACAGAAGATAACTTGCTTAATATTCAAGGAGACAAATAATGTAGAAATAACTTGTGAACTCTGCTAGATTTGTTCAGTTAGATAGGAACTTGTTTCCAAAGATGTAAGTTACTACCATAAACAGATAGATTAGGAATTATGCTTTCAAATAAATGTTTCCAGTGCCCCTGTTTGGCTTTTGTGTTGTACTGTAAATGACAATATAATCAGCTGAAACTTTGAAATTCTCTTTGTTGGAAGAATTAGAAGAGGTAGGGTTTTGGATGGACTTAAATTTTAAGTAATTTTTTTAATTATACAAAATACATCCTTATTGTCAGGAAATATAGAAAGCATGGACAATACAACTTAAATACCCTGTAATCTTTTTATCCTATGTGTATTACTTGTTTGTGTTTTCTTTTTCTGCATATGTATGTGGAGAAGAAAATGGTAGCCCACTCCAGTATTCTTACCTGGAGGATCCCCATGGACAGAGGAGCCTAGTGGGCTGCAGTTCATGGGGTCGCAAAGAGTTGGTTCATGACTGAGTGACTGAGAATGTACATATATGTATATACATAAACAAGAAAGTAAAATACTTTCTAAAAGGAAAATTGGGTCCACACTAGATATGCTTTTTCCAAGGTAATTTTTAATAGTAATATTATTTGATTGCTTAGTGATGTGCCAAAACATTTCATGTATTTTAATTCATTCAAGTACTTTGAATTGCTGAAGTATTGGTGCTGTCTATGGGAGAATTGAGGCACAGTGAAATTCAGTTACTTGCCCAGGATCAAATAGCTAGTAAATGGCATAGTTAGGAAATTTGAATGTGCTCTTATACCACTAATCACTGTCTTTCTGTATCTGAATCCTTGTTTGCCTGTATAATTACAGTAGCTTCTGAGAAGTGTATTATTGGCTTGATGGGTAAAGACTTAATTGCATTCCTCTACTTTCTACCTCCCACCTCCAAAAAGAATTGTAACAGTGGCTTATATAAAGAAAATAGATGTATGTTCATGGGAAGTAACTGTGCATCACAGAAAGTGGTATCAGGTACTTAACATAATTCTGTTACTTTTATATTTTTCAGATAAACCACACAATCCTATGGTAAATGCTGGAGCAATTGTTGTGACTTCATTAATAAAGGTAAACTGTTGATGTTTTAATCTAGTAATATTTTTAAATACTAAGGCATAAATATGAACCTTATGTAGACTGAAAAGTTTTCTTCTGGTGTTATGTGATTCTTATGGTATAAGGTTAGAATTTTTATTTATTTCAAAATAAATGATGTAATTTCAAGGGCAAAATTAAAAACAGATGACTCATAAATTCTAACACCTACTCTTGACCTGAAGATCTGGCAGAAATTCAAAAAGAAGTTTCTGTTGAACAGTAGTCACAGTTTTTCTTCTTAAAGTTTTAATATTTTTTTCTTTCTTTCTGGCTCTTCTAGAATGAACAGATGTAAACAGAATTAACAGCATGTTACTGTCTGATGTTTGTCATCAGCATATGTAGGGACAAATGTTCTGGTACTTTGTATTAAAGACAAAGTACATTTACCCTTGAATATTCTCGAGTCCTTGACTTTCATGAACTGTAATCGCAATTTCCATTTGAACTTGTTTCATTTGTTTTACTTGAATCATAAACAAGACTTATTCCAATTATTAAGTTATTTTATTTTTCCTACTCTTTGGTTTATTTACACTGTATGTTTTCTTGTTAAGTGTCTAGTTTGCCTTAATAATTGGAAATACTAGTGTTGTATTGAAATAAGTATTTGAAAATGGTTCTATTCTGTGATACTGCTAAGGTTTTTAATTTATAAGTTTCACTTATATTCAATTATGTTTCATTTGTGTTTGTAACATTTATATACTTTCTTCAGTAAATCTGTGCATATCCCATGATTGAAGTTAACATAGTTGTATGGCTTTGTAGATGCATTTCTGCAGATGAGATACCTTGGTTACTCAAGGAATGTTTGAATATAAATTATACCCTTGGCCCAATTAATAAAATCTCATCTAGTTTGTATGCTATAAATTCTCTTAACTCTCATGAATTTATTGTTGGTCACGAGGAAAAGCTGTTAAAATAGAAGAGTAGTATTTTAAGAATGTATAGGTTGTTATTTTGGAGCAAATGCTTCGTAAGTACTGGTCACTTAATCCTTGTAACTCTAGTGATGTAGATATTATAGCCAAGTATTATTTTTTAATGTAAGTAATTTTAGGCTATGAAAATATTCAGTTTTCCCATTATAACCTCTAGTTATTTGTTGTTGCTTAAGAGAAGAGTTGTCAGTTTGATATCAAAGAAACTACTTGTTTATTATAAAAAGTTGAGTTTATGATAGGCATAGTCACGCCTTCAGGTAGCTTACAGTACAATGTGAGGTATACATCAGTAAATGGACCCTTACAATGAAATACTACAGTGAGAGAAAAGTTTCATTAATAATTGTTCAGATTTGAACATGTATCTTAAATTAGAAGTAAGGAAAGTTATGATAATAAAAGGTATGCATTAGTGCTTGATGAGAAAACCACTAGAAAAAAAAAGAAAACCACTAGAATGGTTCTAACCCTTTTTTGGGTCTTCCCGAAAAAATGTTCACATACCATGATTTTATATGAACTGTAGGGAGTTCACAGACCCATTGAAGCTGTCCCATGGATCTCAGTTTAAGAACTTTTACACTGGAGAGAGATTAACATTCCACACCAATAGTATTTTCAAGAAAGGGCATATGTAAATGATTAATAGCAGTCTTGCTTAACTGTATGCAGTTAAACATCTTTTGTTTAATGATTCATGGGCTTAATATACTACATTGAAATGCTGCATGTGAGAAATGCATGTATGGTCATACCACATCATTACTTTATAAGTTCCACTTACCATGTTCAGTCACACACCATAAATTATATATTGAGCCACATTAATAAAAGTACTGAAAAACAGTTTAAAAAACACACATACACAGCATAAATGTGGTTGTATCTAACTGTTCATTTAACTGGGTCATCTTGTCTTTACAAATTTGATCAGAAATTTTACATTTAGAAAAATTTACTGACAAAGTTGGAAATGAAGCTTTGGGGTATGGTTCATATTTAAGGTCACTTTCTTTGAATTTTTTTGTTTTATTTTTAGATGGTGTTTCACAAGTTTTATGTGTTTTTTTTTCTTTTTTTTTTTTAATGAAGTTCAACTAAATCTTGGAGGGGTAAGCTTGACATACCTCTGTGTAAAATTGTCCCAGAATATAATACTTTTCTTGGACTCTTTTTTTAAAACAATTCAAAACTTTTATAAACACCTACCGATGATCTCTGCAGATTATATGATCACATAATATGAATTGGTAGTTGAAGCTGAAGTAATAAAACCATAGTTGAAGGGGTTTTCAAGCTCAGCCCTCTTACTCTATAAATAGGTAAAATGAGGAAACAGACTGGATAGGTTCTAACAGTAGTGGTCTTGGCTTGAGCTAAATCTGATTTTCTGTTTGCTGTTCATTCAAATTCACTCTGCCATTTTTAATATAAATGTTTGCTGTTTTCTTGTTGACATCTTCATCTTTACCTAGCATAGTTAGATTGTCTAAAAAGTTGAGAAATATTATTTTCCTTATTTCACTTATACAGAAGATACCAGTTTATTGAATTAGCAGTCAGCCTCACTTTGAGTGAGTGTATATGGCCATTCTTTGGACATTAGTCAGTGCTTGTTATCTATAAGGAACCAGGCCTCTTATCAAGGAGCTTACGCTTTGAGTACCTGAAGTGTGGCTGTTACACCGTGGCTACTCGATGTGAGTTCTGTGTTTTAACTGATGACCTTAAGGTTATTTTTTTCTTTCGAAATTCAAGACTTTATTATGGTGCTATTAAAATATTTTCTTCATGTTATCCCCCTCCCCCCAAACACATAAATTAGTAGAGTCTTTAGTAAGACTCTTTATTTCATAATTTTGTAGTATTGATATTTTTTCCTTGTAGGATTGGTGGTGATCCTCAGGAAATGGGGGAAGAGGCAGAGCAGATGTTCAAAAGGATTAGCAGATTGTGGAAAAAAGGAGGATTTGGACAGAAGGAACCTGTTGCATAAATTCTTAACTACTAAACTTGTAGGAAAACTCCAATATTTAAAATTTTAAACAAAGCTATATAGGTAAATACCTTCATAAAAGAAAATGTCATTTTTGTACTTAAAATGCACATAATTTAAAAAACCATGAAGGTGCTAACCTCTTTCTCTCTGTGGTAGCTGCTAAACTTTAAGGAATACTTTTTGATACAGTTTGTTACATTTGATGATGATGATAATGTGGTTGTTTGAGTTAAAGGAAACAGTAAAAATAAATTTGAAAGCACAGTTCTGGATGAAACAGCAGTATCCTTACATTATTTTTTAATCTCAGTTTTCAGTTTAAAAGTTAAGATCTTATGATAATTTGAAGGCTGGGTGGGAAAATTAGGGCAACTTATTAAAATTATCACACTTCTGCTTTTTTATTTTAAAGGTAAAGAGTAAATTGCATTGTCATATATTTGTACCTCAGGTCTATTGGTAGTTTCTGGTTTTTGTCATTTGAATAACTTGATTTCTCTTTTTTTTTTTAAGACCAAAGTATTTTTGAGTTTAAAATTTTGGAGGTTTTCACCTGTCTTTCAAAAAAAAATTAATTGTACTCCATAAAAAATCAAGGCAAATTTAATTAGTATGTATCAAATGTTCAGTTTGGTCATGTTGACTATCACTTGTTACACGGGAGGCAGTTTGTGACTCTAGGGTGCAATGGATGATGCCTTGAACTTGGTAACATTAATAAGAAAGGATTGTAATTGGCTTATATTTACTTCATGTTTATATCAATAGATGTGCTTGGGGTTTCTTTTTTCCTTAAATAATGGCTGGTAATTGGTGTCAATAGAATTCAGTTTTCTGTTACTTTATTTTTAGGTTTAATCTATGGAAGTACTAGATTTAGAACAGTATTTTTTACATGTAATAATCTATATTAATCCTCCACCTATTATTTAGCTTTAAAGCATTTTCTTTGGCTATATTAAGCTAAGTGTTTTATAAAAATCATTTTTAGTTACCTCTTTTTGCCTTTTTCTTCTATGTCTTTTTTCCTTTTTGATTTAATTTTCAATTGGCTTCTATAGCTCCATACTTTATGAATGAATCACATGATTTACAAAATTGTGATTAATGTGTTGACTTTAAATGAGTAATATTAAATTTATTGGCACATGTCCCTGTTTTTAGTGATATTTCACCTGTGTTGTGATGTATAGTACATGATTCAGTTCATGAATATATTGCGAAAACAGGTTATAAAACTACTCCAATGTATTGTTCTTTTAATAGCCAGTGTTAAAACTCTTTATCAAATTTTAATGGCCAGTGTTAAAACTTCTTTATTAAATTTTTATTCATAAAAGTTTTCCTCAATGGAATATAAATTCTTTAACTTGATAGGAACATTTATCAAAAAATTTTCGGACCTCAGGGTCTGATTACTAATCTTTTCAAACGTAAACCACATGGCTTGCTTTTTAAAAGTCATGTGGTAAATGGATTAGATGTTTTGGTAAATGTATTTTGTCCAACATATCTTTTTTATATTTTCCTACTATATATAATATAAAGTGCTTTACTTCTAAGATTAAAATAATATATCTAATAATGCTTGTACAGTGACTTAACACTGAAATAAACACATCCCTGGGCATGGGAATATTTTTCCAAGATATAAAGGGGCATTGATAATTTTAAAACTATCAGTTTCCAAGTCTGTTTCCTTTTGTGCCTTTTCTTAAAATTAATCTGTCTTTAGTCCAGTTTTCCCCACATTTTCCAAAAGAAAGGCATACTTCTCATGTCCCAAATTTTACTGTGGTGCACTGCTTCAGGTTGTAAAAACTTCTTGGGCACCATCAGAAGACAACATTTTGAAAGACTAGTTATGGTATTGATGATGTGAATTACTGTAATCACTATAATGCCTGGGAACAAATCTTATATACCAGGTTGTTTCCAGTGTTTTGGTTTCAGCAAAAGGGAAGAGGATCTGATCAAGTTGTTAGTTAATAAGAACATTAAGTGTCTAATTTTTGAAGATATATTTTACTGTGTGACCTTTGTGTGTAATGAGATAAATGTGCAGAGGATTGAGTGACATTGTTATAACAAAACCTTTCTTATTTCCATCTACTCATCTGTTGTCAGCAAGATTTCTCAACTTTTACATCTGCAAAAATTCAAAATAAGAGAATTAAACTTCTTATTCTACCAATTAAAATATCCACTGATAGATGAATTAATGTAAAATCAGTTATTATTTTAAAAATATTCTAAAGGAAGTTTTATAATTATTGTGGGGAATAATTAACAAATAAACATTTTTCCTTTAACTTTATATGAAAAATTTCAAGTGTAACACAAAATAAACAGTAGTATAACCAGCCCCCATCCACCCATTCCTGGCTTCAATTATCATAACTTTTGTTCCTTTACCCCACTGTATCCCACTACGGGAGAAATGATTTTTTTTTTTTTTTTAACAGCTGTTTTGCTTTGGCGGGATGGTACAGGGGTAGGATTTACTCTAGGTTATTTGGTATGTGTATGTGTGTTTTTTTCTAACAACTGTGCAAATTTTCATTCTGTAAAATTTTTAGAATGATATGACATAATGATTACTAGATTCTACATATCCCTGGGGTACATGAAACCTTTACAAGAGATGACAGGGGCAAATACATCTTATCAGCTTAAATGGTATTTCTAGGTAAATAATAAAAAGAAACATTAATCAAGTACTTTTATGATTAAATGGGGAAGTTTTGAGTAGAGATTTTCTTGAGTCAACACAGTCATTCAGATATTTTGCCTATTTACATAATCTGCCAGAACATTTCAGATAGTTTACACAAAATCTTATATGATGTTAGACATTGACAAATATCAGTTGTTTCTTTAAAATATCAGTTGTTTCTGAAAAATAGCATAGAAGTAAAACCTAATTGTACATTAATTTAGTAAGCTGCAATGTAGATCAAGAATGTGACTATAGTCGAGTTGAGACAGTTTTTGTTATTTAGTTTTTTTAAAAAATTAAACATGACAGCTAAACAAAGAAAGTACAGTTTAGATCAGAGAATGAAAGTTCAATATAATTTGTTTATTTTACATTGATTAATTGTATAACCAGTAATTATCCATGTGATATCCCAATGCAAATGCTGACAATTTTTTCCAAAGGAGTTGTTTTTTGTGCTTTCTCAAAGGTTGAAAAGGTTTTTGTGGTTTAAATGTTGTTACATATTTTACAGCATTAGGATCTATGGAATATTTTGACAACTGCAACAGTTCAATGAAGTTGGTAATTTCTTCTTTTAATTGTTTTTCATTGAACAGCTTTGGAGTTACATTTCTACATTTTGATTTCTGGTGTATTATAAAGAAAGAAAACTTATAATATGTCAAAGGACACTTTAGAGGAAATACATAGATAGTGATTACAGTATGGCTGTAACTATATTATCCTTAACTTGTTTAAGCTTTGTTAATTCCTGATTTTGAAGAAATAGTGTGGTGGTCTTTCCAGCTACTGATTTGTATATGTGATTGCACATTCTTTCTCAAATAAGTTGATTTGTTAAGTTTTCAGATTATCAGCCACATCCTAATCCACTTGTACGGGGGAGAATGACCCCGGCTTTATTCAATTAAATAATACTCTGGTACTTCCCCCATCCCCTTGTAATAAAACTTTAAATTTATTGTTTTGGGTTTTTTTGATGGCAAAGTTAAAATTTTCCAGTTTTCAAATTTTAGTTGTCAAATTACTTCATTTTAAACTTGTTTTAAAAATTAGAGATGTATTGTTTCTTTTGGGTGCATATCACCAATTAATACGTTTGATTTCAGATCTACAACTTACTGCTTTGTAAACTTCGCCGAGGTAAAACGAAACCATTTGGCTACTTGAACTGATCTACGTTACCTAGTTTTTTCCTATTACATTTGCAGTAGCAGCTAACTTGTCAGAAATAGAAGTGGTGAAACAATACGTCCTCCATTCTCTGAATTGGCATAATGCTAAATACAAATGTAGCTAATTTTTTTAGACTATGAAATACACTTTTTTAGTTCAAGTATTGCTATAACAAGTAAGATATTAAAGGTAGAATCTCTCTACGTTAGTAACGTGTATCCAGAATGTATACATATACGAGAGTTGTAAAAGATTAGTTTTGCAACATAACTTATTTTCTAACTCTAATACTGGTTTAAGGTTTAAGAAATACAAGTATTTCTACTTATATTTTAGAAATATAAGTAGGTTGTTCTTAATTGAAAACCATAATATATATGCTTAATTCTTTGCTAAGGGTAAAAACTTTAAGTTTTTTTTAATGTGAAATCAAATAATAATGTATATTCTAGCAGATTATGGTGTAATGAAAGATAAGGGGATTTGAGGAACTTGTATTTAAAATTCTGTAACTTTGGGTTGGGAAGTTATACTTAACGCATTCCCTTTGTAATTCAGATCCATTCTCAACATGCGGGTGTTAATGTAGGGACATGTGAAAAAAAGTTTTTGTAAATATTAGATTATGAGTATTTCCTAGATTTAAAAGTACTAATGCACAGTATATTAATTATAATGTTAGCAGTTTGGAATTTTTAATATAATATTCACTTAAGGCTTAACTGTGATGGAGTCTGTATTAACATTTATGTCTCATTTCTTTGCAGCAAGGAGTGAATAATGCTGAAAAATTTGACTATGTAAGTATAATGTAGAACTCAGTTTTCATGCTACATTCTCTGTTTTGTTTTTTGATTACTAATAGTTTCTCATTTTGGTTTATAGGTAATGCAGTTTTTGAATAAGATGGCTGGTAATGAATATGTTGGATTCAGTAATGCAACGTGAGTCTGGTTTTTGATTTAGGCTTTTGTGATAGGTTAGATATCTTGAAATTTTTAAAATCTAGGCTACAGAATTTATTTTAAATACTCTTTTCTGACTTAATGTATATATACTTCAGCGTGTTCCCTGGTAGCTCAGATGGTAAAGAATCCTCCTGCCAATGCAGGAGACATAGGAGATGTGGGTTTGATCCCTGGGTTGGGAAGATCCCCTGGAGGAGGACATGGCAACCCATTATTCTTGCCTGGAGAGTCCCATGGACAGAGGAGCCTGGAGGGCTGCAGTCCATAGGTTGCAAAGAGTCAGACACGGCTCTTTGTAGCACCCATACACACACACGCACATCAGTGAACTTACTTAGAATTTGGTCATTAAAGAGAAATGCGTGATTTCTAAATCACATGAGGGAGAACACTTAATTTAACTTTAACTAGTTTTGATAAACTTCTTGTGAGAAATCATATAATTAGAAGAGCCCCTAAATTTATGTCAAGTGGCTGGCACTTTCTTAATTTTTTCTTTGCCTGTAATGCTTATCTTCCCTCTTGTAATCTCTCTGTGTCTGGCTAACTTGATTCTTGCCCCAACATTTTATTTTAAAATTTAGAAATCTATAGAAAAGTTGAAACAACAAATCATGAAAATCTGGACATCTTTCACTGATATTTTCTGATCAGTATTTTGTCTCATTTGCTTTTTTCTCAGCCCGTTTATCTCTTTAGATGAACAGTTTAAAACAAGCGTGGATCTCTTCACACACATACATGTACATGTATATAAATATACATATATTTGAGGTAGTTTTTTTGTCTTTTTAAAATGGAACAGTCCTCCTAACCTAGACCCTTGCTTTTTAAAATTTTATTAAATGGCTTTTTTTTTTTTTGTCTTGTCAGTGGAACATAAATTAAGTTTTTCTGTGAAGGAGGACTAGATAGTAAATATTTTGTATTTGTGGGCCATATGGTCTCTGTTGAAACTACTCAGTTCTACTGCTTTAGTAGGAAAGCTAAACACTGTGAGGATGTGTTTCAAAAAACTTTATTTATAAAAGCATGGACCAGATCTGGCCCATTGACATTCCCCATTTTGAATAGGATTGTTTCCTAGTGATTAGACAAGGCTTAAACATTTTTGGCATGAAAACTAAACTAGGTGTTGCTTTGTGTTTCAGGTTGTCTACCTTACCAACTTTATTCATCAGCTTAAGTGTCTTTCCCAGGAAGTTTTTTTATTAATCTCATCTCGCCTTTCTTCTGTGCGCTCATATTGCCATATTTTATTGAACTTATTCTATGATTCTGTCTCTTTTTGCCTCATCATTGCTGTTAGATTTTCACCTCCTTAATTCCTGGATAGAGTGTCTTCCAAATCATTTCTGTATTCCTGTTATCTAGTGGATAGTAAGTACCTGATACAATGTTTGATGAACAGAACAGCACTGTGATCATTGCTGAATATAGTTAGTCCTTTATACTATATTGATTACTTTTTCAATGTTGTATGGCAAGTCGCCAAGTATGGCAAGTTGACAGGTTCATTTCCAAGAACTTTGTCATATCCAGCATAGTTTTTCTGACCATGGAAATATTCAGATATGCAGTTAGAAGGAACTGTCCACCCCTAATCAGTAATAAGAATATCACATACAGTTCCTCTTTAAGCAGCAGCCTTCTGAACTCTTTGAGGTTGAGCTCTCAAGTGTACCACAGATAAATGTGGTACTTCCCAAACTGCTCTTTTCTGTAGGGATCCCCAAGTCAGTTGACATTGCCATCCTTTCTGTAGACTGTGCTAGAAATCTCGGCTTCGTACCAGACTTTACCCTGTTTTCCCTCTTCCCGTTAGGTCGGAAGATTGCCCAAGTGGTCTTATGTTTGATCATACCTCTCCTTCCATTCCTATCATCACTACCTAGTTAAGATGACCTGTAGCTCTCATTAACTAGTCTCCTGATAAATCACTCATCCTTTCTTTTTCTCCTTTCCCAAACTGATGGCAGAATTATCCTTCTAAAATGTAGACCTGATAAGGTAACTTTTGAAAGCTTTCAAGCTTTCATTTTGTAGGTAATCAGGAGCCATTGCATTTTTTAGCATTTATCAATCTTTATAGTTTGGTTTTAGTCTCTTTTGTTGGTTTGGTATTTTTCCATTCTTTTCCATGTGTTTCCCAGACTCATCAGAATATTTGCATTCTTGAATGAAGTCCTGTCTTTTATAACTTTGTTCATACTGTATTATTTGCCACTACCCAGACTCCTCAGAAATTTGTTAATCCAGCAAATGCTGTTAGGCCCATTTCATGTGTCTCTCTCAGTTAAATTTCCATAGGTTCCCTCAGTTGAAATTGACTACTGTTCTGTTAGGGGAGCCAGAAGATACTAACAATAAATTTTAATAATTGAATATTTGGTAATTTAAAAATTAGCTTCTTTAGTCACAAAATAGAAACGGCCTAGTTCATTTCAGTTCTTTTAGAGCTCGGAAAATTAATGCAGATAGAATTATTACTTAATGACATGTCCAAGGCCACATAGCTGACCTGTTGACAGAACTGGGATTAGAACCCAGCAGCCTTGACTCTTTCTGAGGGTCAGTGTTCTTTATACTGCACTTTGCTATACAGATTAACCTATAGAACAATCATGCTTTTACCGAGGGTATATAAATAGAGCAAATGTGTTGTTTTTTTTTCTTCTAGGTTTCAGTCTGAAAGAGAAAGTGGAGATCGAAATTTTGCAATAGGATATTACTTAAAGGAAAAAAAGGTTTTTTAATTTTGCTTATTTTTCAGATTATTCTTTTATTTAATAAAATATAGAGAGATGTATACTAAAAACTCAATAATAGCTTTTAAATAACTACCTGTGACTAACATGCAGAAGTTTTTGCAAAACACTCTTGAATTAATACTGTCAAAGTATTAATATTATTCAAGCAGGTTGTATTTGGTAGCATTCAAATATTTGCCTAGTTATATTAATGCAGATTTTGTGTAAGGATTGGTATATTTTTCAAAAGTATAACCCTTGACTGTTGTTGGTTATACTTGATTTTTAAATTTTAAGTATCTGGTCCAATAATTTGATTCATGAATAATGAATCAATTTGTTATTGTCAGTTAAACTAGTATCTTGAAATATATATGTGATAACATTTTGATTTATTCTTCATTATTTCGTGTTTGTACTCTTTTATAGATTGTGTCCTATTTTGTTCTCAATTAGAATGAAATGTGTTTATATTTTAAATTTAATCTCCATGTATCTTGTTTATGTGCATTCTTTTCCTGCATGCCTGTGTTTTTCAGTTGCCTATTTATTTTTTCAGTGTTTCCCAGAAGGCACAGACATGGTTGGTATATTGGACTTCTATTTCCAGGTAACTTACTTTAACTGTATGAACTATGTATATAAGTGGATGTGTCACATTTTGCAGAATAGAGATGTCTCTGAAATCTTGGCTCTGAGCCGAGAAAAAGTCATTTCCCATTAACTTTAGAAAAAAATGCTCGTGTTAAATGCAATCTTATGCCTGTAATATCTCAGAATGTAACAGGGAAATGGTTTTTTTCTATAAAAGCATTATATTTAAGGAGTATGAAAATTAATGTACAGCTCCAGCAATTGCTTCTCTTTATTATAAACTGAGCACTGTTTTCTTAGTCTTAAATTTTTCTTTGAAGGAGTTACTTGTTTCTTTATCAAAAAGTTCACATTCAGCATTCTAAAGGGGCATATTCTTTCTTTCTTTAGTTCATTTCTACAGTGTCACATAGTGGATTTTCTAATAAGTTAAAGTAGCTTTCCATATTCATGGGGAAGAGGACCATTTACATATCTTTATGGGATAGAACTGAAGTTAAGATAGTCTTCCTTAGAAGAAGGAATTCTTTTTTCTCCTGTCGTGTTTTCAGTTCATTCTTACAGATTTAATACCATTGGTGCTTCTACACTTGATCTTAGCCTAAAGGCCAAGAAGTGATCCATTGGTGCTTCTAATGAGTTTGTAGTATACTTAGTAGCTACATAGTAACTAATTGTTGTTAATTTCTGTTTCACCTAATATTTGCCTGGCTTTACTTTTTTAAGCTTCTTTAATTTTAACCTTTTAGTAATCTTAAAGAATAAGTAAGGAAAGTTGATAATGTAATAGATCTTGATAGAAGTCCGGGTCTCAGCTTGTCACCTGCCCAGTGTGAAGAACTATGACTTGGGAATCCAGACTGCCAACAGAAAATCAAAATCTAACCTGGCCACATTTTAAGACATGTGACTTAGCTTCAGCTGCTGAACCCTGGTTTCATTTTCTGTGGCATAAGCTTGATCTAACTTCCTGCATTACATTGATGAGTTCATAAGATGTATATGAAATTTCTTTGAGGCTATAAAATGTATTAAGTTCAGTATCGTATTTATCCAGTGGCCCTTATTTTTCCCCTAGCCAGTATGGATTTCTTCCATATGTTAAAGTTTCTTTTCCTTTGGTACACATATTTGACTGTTATAGCTTAGGTACTAGTAATCTACTGTGAAATTTCTGTACTTTACAGCAGAAATCAAGAGACAGCCGTGGAAAACTTAATTGCTTTTTTGGAGGAGGACTACATCTAACTGAACATCTGTCAGGGTACCAGGAGAGTACTCTTAAATTGGGTTTTGTCTAATTGGAAGTATCACCTTATGACAAACACAATTTCTATTAATACTAATTATAAATTAGGAATTGGTCATTTGAGTTCAAATATTTTTTCTTTTAGAAAGCTTTTCATAATTAAATCACCTTTACTATAAGTCTTTGCTGTGTGGATCTATATTATAAGTAGATTCTGTAGTTTTGGAGAAATAGAGAAGGGGTTTTAAAATAATGAGGCAAAAGTAAAAACCAGTCAAAAAGTGGCCCCTAATCAGTTCTCTGATTCATTGCAGTTAATTAATTTCCATTATTGCTATTTCCAAACCCTTTTGTGCATCTGATAGGTCTTGAATTATGAGTAAGGAATATTGTAAGTTGAGAACTCAGTCTTTTCTTCTTCCTATCGTCTCTTTCTCTTCCACTTTCGCCTCAGTTTTGGTTGCTGTTAATGAAATTAAAGCAGCATTTATTTATTGTTTTAGTTTTATGGGTAAATTTGGATTTGGTGTGGTAAAAACTATTTCCATTATTTTGATGATATTGGAATGCAAAAATTTTACCCTACAGTGTACTTGGACTTTGCTTTTTTTAATTCATTATATCATATCCAGCAATCATAGTCAATATCAAATAGCTATTTGAATGTTAATAAACAGTGTAAAAGCAACAGATTTGGTTTAGGCACACAGAGCATTCAAGCTAGAACTTAGATTTTTTCCTGTAGTCCTTTGTGTGTTGCCATATGAGGATACTGAGCTTTTTTATAGGCTAAGATGTCAGACTTTTTTCCTTAAAGTAGCAATTTTTCATGTAGATGCTAACTATCATAATACTGATGTATGTTGCTTTATTTTAAAAACAGGTCATCCCTCTTTTTTTGCTGTTGAGTTAAAAATAATTATGTTTATATATCCTACAGAAAGCATTAGTATTTAAGCAAGCTTGAATATCACACATGAGGCAATTTACAGTTCTTAGTGCTAAAGGTCTGGCTCTTCCTATCCTAGCTCTGCCATTGAAAGACTAAATAACTGATGAAATAGGAGAAATGTTAAAAGGGCTGGACTATTGTTCAAATTTAAATCTTTGTGTAATGACATCAAATTATCCCTTTGGAAAAAAGATTTCAGATCTCTACGAAATACTGGATAAAATAGATTGTCTTACGGGTCAACTGTACTAAAAATAATGTGAGCCTAAATTTTTAGAATTTAATTTTTTCTTTCTTTTAGCTATGCTCCATTGAAGTAACTTGTGAGTCAGCTAGTGTGATGGCAGCAACACTGGCTAATGGTGGCTTCTGCCCAATCACTGGTGAAAGAGTACTGAGTCCTGAAGCAGTTCGAAATACACTCAGTTTGATGCATTCCTGTGGCATGTATGATTTCTCAGGGCAGTTTGCTTTCCATGTAAGTAATTGTTTGATCTTAATTTCTCTGGCAGGAAACTAGTCTGGACTAGCTTCTTTTTAAGATGCAGCTCTAGAGCTGTCCATTGATTTTTGAGAGAGAGGCTTATTCTCAGGTTAATTTGTTACGGAATTAGTAAGAAATAGAGTTATGCAGTCTATGACATGTTCTTAAGAACTTGAAGTTTAATCTATAGGTCCTTTTCACTTTTATTTTAAAAGGCATTTCACTGTAGATGCTTAGTACAGACTTTACTTTTAGTTACTAGTATTTAATATGGTGGTGATTAGATACTTCAGGAATTCTTTAAGTTCAGAAAGAGTGCATGCATAACTGGTATTCAGCATCTTTGTTTACAACCATAGGTGTTTTAAAGGATTTAAAGTGTATTCAAGTTAAAAATACATTCCTTTGAGCTCTGTTGTACATTTGCCATTTGTAAAATGTTAGAGACTTCTCTTATTTCATTCTATATCAAGTTGTAATGCCCTAAAATTTTGTTTTGAAAATGTTAAACATAGAAAAATCGATGCATTATCATATGATACCACTTTTGTATAGAATCTTAAAAAAGAAATTATACAGATGAGATTCTATATAGAACAGAGAAATAGCCACACAGACACAGGGACCTGTTTACTGTATAGTACAGAGAACTATACTCAGTATTTTATAATAACATACAAGGAAAAAGAATCTGAAATATATACACACACAGACACACACAGTAAGCCCCCTACGTATGAACAAGTTCTGTTCCTAGAGCAAATTTGTGAGTGCAACAGAGTTAGCATAGGTACCCAAGTAACACATTTGGCTATATAGTACTGTACTATAATAGGTTTATAATACTTCTCATACAAATAACACATAAAAAACAGATAATAAAGCATTTTTAATCCTGCAGCACAATGCTTTACAGAGTAGCAGTGCAGTACAACAGCTGGCACGCAGGGGCCGGCACTGAGTGAACAGGCAAGAAGAGTTGCTGATTGGAGGAAGTGGGGCATGGTAGAGCTGAAGGATCATTGGCAATAGGAGACAGGGCAAATTATAATTTCACTCATGTTTGACGTTGGTAGCACTGGTTCTGGCTTCTTGCTGGAATCAAATGCACGTTCATATCTTTGAAAGCTTGCAACTTGAAGATTTGTATGTAGAGGCCTTACTGCATGTATATCTTAAACAGTTTGCTGTATACCTGAAACTAACACAACATTATAAATTAACTATTCTTTAATAAAAAATAAATGTACCTGGCACTCAACTTCAGTAATTATCAGTACCTGAGCAGTCTTGTTTCATCTTTATTACACCTACTTCCTCTACCCTTTTCATAGTAAAGTATGTAATTCTAAATAATAAGGACTCCAAAAAATCCACAGCAACATTATTACCTATAAAAACCTAAAAAGGATTTTAACCTAATATTTAGTCAATAATAGAAAAGAATATGAGAAAGAGTATGTATATTTATAATTGGATCACTTTGCTCTACAGCAGAAAATAACATTGTAAATCAACTGTACTAAAAGGTTAGTCAATGTCCAGATTATCTGGATTATCTTAAAAATCATTCCATAGTTTACTTCACTTGAATGCAAATAAGGGCTATCCATACATTGTGATTGTTGTGTCTCTTTATTATTTTTTTTAAAAATCTGTACTCTTCCCGCTTAACCTACCTACCTCTGTTTTCTTATTTTTAAATGAAAAAAACTGGATCAGTTTTAATGTAGTTTGTCAGAGTATTGATTTTGCTTACTACATCTCTTCCATTGTCCCTGGTATTTGCTGTAAATTAGTAGGTTCCATTCAGGTGATTCTTTTGTTTTGCTACTTTTGTGCAAGATTACTTCTAGTAAGAGGTCCGAATTGTTAATAAACCATTAGTAAAACACTGTCCTGATGACATTAATTTTGTCTTTTATCATAGTTGGTGTCAAGTTTTACATAATGTAAACTTAAATGCTTTGAAGTGGATTAATTTGAATTGGTACCATCTTATCTCTATTCTTTAGAATTTTTCTGCCAGTATACCACAGAGAATCATCTTGAAAGAGATAATTTCACATTGTTTTAGTCATGAAGTATTTTTTTGAAAATAACTTATACTTAAAAGCAATACATGTTTACTGTAGAACAATTAGAAAATATAACCAAAAAGAGTAAAAATATGAATGTCTCCACAAGTTAAATTCCTTAGAGTATATCTTTGAAATTTTTTTTCCATATTTAAATATATCCCAAGTGTTTTGTAACTGTCTTTTCATTTACTGTATTACAAACGTATTGGTAAATATTAGGTTGGTACAAATGTAGTTGTGGTTTTGGACCCTGAATTTTAAATCATTATAATTAGACTCAAACACATCGTTTTTAATCAAAGTATAAACCATTAGAAACAATGCATTTTTTGCCAGTGAGAAATAAGTTTATTTCTGTAGTGTAAAAATACATGCTTTGGGATTTGGTGAACATTTGGAGAGCATTTTCTGCTTCCTGCTGGTTGTGTGTTTTTCCTGCAAAACGTTAATGAGATGCTTGAAGAAGTGGTAGTCTTATTGGCGAGGGTCAGGTGAATATGGCGGATGAGGCAAGATGAACCCATTTTGTAACCCATTTCGTTCAAATTTGAAGCCTAGGTTGTACAACATACAGTCAGGCGTTGTCATGGAGGAGAATTGGGCCCTTCCTGTTGACCAGTGCTGGCTGCAGGCATTGCAGTTTTCAGTGCTTCTCATCAGTTTACTGAGCAAACTTCTCAGTTGTATGGATTTCACCAGGGTTCAGAAAGTTGTACTGGATCAAACCGGCACGAGACCACCAAACAGTGACCATGACCTTTTTGTGGTGCAAGGTTGGCTTTGGGAAGTGTTTTGGAGTGCCTTCTCAGTCAGGCCACTGAGCTGGTTGTCACAGGTTGTTGCATACAGTCCACTTTTTGTTTCACGTCAAAATCCAATCAAGAAATGATTCACTGATGACACTTCAAAACAATGATTTTTTTTATTTTCGGTCAGTTCATGAGGCACCCACTTAATAAGCTTTTTTCACCTTTCCAAATTGCTTCAAATGCCGGATTCCGTAGAATGGTCAACGTTGAGTTCTTGGGCAACTTCTCGTGTAGCTATGAGGATCATCTTTGATGATTGATCTCAGTTCAGTTCAGTCACTCAGTCGTGTCTGACTCTTTGTGGCACCATGGACTGCAGCCTGCCATGCCTTCCTGTTCATTATGAACTCCTGGAGTTTACCCAAACTCATGTCCATTGAGTCAGTGATGCCATCCAACCATCTCATCCTCTGTCGTTGCCTTCTGTTCCCGCCTTTAATCTTGCCCAGCATCAGGGTCTTTTCAAATGAGTCAGCTCTTTCCATCAGGTGACCAAAGTATTGGAGTTTCAGCTTCAACATCAGTCCTTCCAGTGAACACTCAGGACTGATTTCCTTTAGGATGGACTGGTTGGATCTCCTTGCAGTCCCAGAGACTCTCAAGAGTCTTCTCCAAAACACAGTGCAAAAGCATCAATTCTTCGGTGCTCAGCTTTGTTTATAGTCCAACTCTCAAGTCCATACATGACTTCTGGAAAAACCATAGCCTTGGCCGACAGACCTTTGTTGGCAAAGTAATGTCTCTGCTTTTTAACATGCTGTCTAGGTTGGTCATAACTTTTCTTCCAAGGAGTAAGTGTCTTTTAATTTCATGGCTGCAGTCACCATCTGCAGTGAGTTTGGAGCCCAAGAAAATAAAGTCTGCCACTGTTTCCACTGTTTCCCCATCTATTTCCCATGAGGTGATGGGACCACATACCATGATCTTAGTTTTCTGAATGTTGAGCTTTAAGCCAACTTTTTCACTCTCCTCTTTCACTTTCATCAAGAGGCTTTTTAGTTCCTCTTCACTTTCTGCCATAAGGGTGGTGTCATCTGCATATCTGAGGTTATTGATATTTCTCCCGGCAATCTTGATTCCAGCTTGTGCTTCCTCCAGCCCAGCGTTTCTCATGATGTACTCTGCATATAAGTTAAATAAGCAGGGTGACAATATACAGCCTGACGTACTCCTTTTCCTATTTGGGACCAGTCTATTGTTCCATGTCCAATTCTAACTGTTGCTTCCTGACCTACATACAGGTTTCTGAAGAGGCAGGTCAGGTGGTCTGGTATTCCAGTGTCTTTCAGAATTTTCCACAGTATTTTACCATGTTATGAGGTTATTGGTCAACTGTCAGGGATTATGGGTGTGTAGGTCCATCCCCAAGAAAAAGAAATGCAAAAAGGCAAAATGGTTTTCTGACAAGTCCTTACAAATAGCTGTGAAGAGAAGTGAAAGGAAAAGGAGAAAAAGAAAGATATGCCCATCTGAATGCAGAGTTACAAAGAATAGCAAGGAGAGATAAGAAAGCCTTCCTCAGTGATAAATGCAAAGAAATAGAGGAAAACAATAAAATGGGAAGACTAGAGATCCCTTCAAGAAAATTAGAGATACCAAAGGAACATTTCATGCAAAGATGGGCTCAGTAAAGGGCAGAAATGGTAGGGACCTAACAGAAGCAGAAGATATTAAGAAGAGGTGGCCAGAATACACCGAAGAATTGTACAAAAAAGATCTTCACGACCCAGATAGTCACGACGGTGTGATCACTCACCTAGAGCCAGACATCCTGGAATGCAAAGTCAAGTGGGCCTTAGGAAGCATCACTACCAGCAAAGCTAGTGGAGGTGATGGAATGCTAGTCGAGCTATTTCAAATCCTAAAAGATGATGCTATGAAAGTGCTGCACTCAATATGCCAGCAAATCTGGACAACTCAGCAGTGGCCACAGGACTGGAAAAGGTATTTTCATTCCAATCCCAAAGAAAGGCAGTGCCAAAGAATGCGCAAACTACCACACAGTTGCACTCATCTCACGCTAGTAAAGTAATGCTCATAATTCTCCAAGCCAAAAAAAAAAATTCTCCAAGCCAGGCTTCAACAGTACATGAACTGTGTACTTCCAGATGTTCAAACTGGATTTAGAGAAGGCAGAGGAACCAGAGATCAAATTGCCAACATCGGCTGGATCATCAAAAAAGCAAGAGTGCCAGAAAAACATCTATCTCTGCTTTATTGACTATGCCAAAGCCTTTGACTGTGTGGTTCACAATAAACTGTGGAAAATTCTGAAAGAGATGGGAATACCAGACCACCTGACCTGCCTCTTGAGAAATCTGTACGCAGGTCAGGAAGCACCAGTTAGAAATGGACATGGAACAGACTGGTTCCAAATAGGTCAAGGCTGTATATTGTCACCCTGCTCTCAGTTGGTCATTGTGTATTTCTGATGGCCAGCTACTGTGCTCCTCATCCTTAAGGCTCTCATCTCCTTTGCAAAACTGCCTAAATCACCACTGCACTATACGTTCGTTAACAGTTCCTGGGCCAAATGTATTGTTAGTGTTGTGCGTTGTCTCCGCTGATTTACAACCCATTTTGAACTCGAATAAGAAAATCACTGAAATTTGCTTTTTGTCTAACATGATTTCCCTAGTCTAAAATAAGCATAAGCAGCAAGTAATAAGTCATTGGGGCTTCCCCGGTGACTCAGTAGTAAAGAGTTTGCCTGTGATACAGGAGCTGCAAGAAATGTATGTTCGATCCCTGTGTTGGGAAGATCCCCTGGAAGAGTGTATGGCAATCCACTCCAGTATTCCTGCCTAGAGAATTCCATGGACAGAGGAGCCTGGTGGTTCCTGCAGTCCCTGGGGTTGCAATGATTGAAGCGACTTGGCACACATGCATACTGTAAGTCATTAAACAAAAAAAAAACATAAAGCAAGAAAGGTGCATTAAAATGATGTACAGCATTATCACATTTAAGAACGTGTTCCAATATCAAATGGCAGAGTTCAACAATGCAAAACCGCAATTACCTTTGTACCAATCTAATGCTTATCTACGTTTTAATGTTGGAATGCTACTATATGGAAATATACTGTAATATTTTAACCAGTTCCCTTATTGTTGGACATAACTTTTCTTGTTTTAAAATGTTAACATGAGTGTCCATTTTTTCAAACTATTTTCAGGTTGGTCTTCCTGCAAAATCTGGAGTCGCTGGGGGCATTCTTTTAGTTGTCCCCAATGTCATGGGCATGATGTGCTGGTCTCCTCCTCTGGACAAGATGGGCAACAGTGTTAAGGGAATTCACTTCTGTCATGTAAGCCTTTTTTTTTTTTTTTTTTTTTTAATGAAAATGATGATCATATAAGTTGAGCCATCTGATGGCTCCTACTGTATTACTCATTTCCATAGTTTGACTGTTTGCATTCTCACTGCCAGTCACTCAATAGCCATGTTTGTGTTTGCAAAGGAGCTTTAAATTGCCGCTACCAGACAGCTCCTATATAATCATCCTCACAAATTACAAATTTGTTTGATGCTTAAGTTTTAATTTCATGGTTGTAATTAGTTTTCAGTTTCTAAAAGCTCAGCAAAAGACATTAAACTTGGAGAAGTCATTTAGACCTCACCATAAGTGAAAGATTGAGTCTTTTTTTTTTTTTTAAGGAAATAAGTATTGCAATTTAAAATTACTACTACTGTTCCCTAGTTCAGTATCTTTTGTTGTTACCCAAGTGTTGCTAGTATTTTATCTTTTGGTTTTATTTACATTTACTAATTCCTAGAGTCTGCACTGAGTATCATAATTTTTTCTACACATTTTCTCATTTAAAATACCAGTTTATTTTTCAGTTTTTTTAATATTTTACAAAAACTAGAGAATGACATTGGATTCCTTATAGATTAAAATACATTGTAACCAGAGTATTCATTTATATTTTCGTGGTGCTATAGTTATTTGATAGAATAATTACTTCATGTGGCCTATTATTATAATGCCCATTTTACAGAAAATGAAAGTTACGTATTTTGAGTGCCTGAGGCCTAAGGTTATGTAGTAGTAAATTTTCAAATGCCTGTAGTCCATGTCTTCTTGTTTTGACTTCGGTCTTCTTGTTTTGACTTCGGTCTTCTTGATGCATCATGCAGCTTTATTAACATGCAGTGGTACTTTCTATGAGATAGTAGTTAAGTTGAACAGTATTAGTGAAATTTGTTAAAATATGGAAAAACAATAGCCATTGACTAAGCCAGTTTCTTATAATACCTGTTTTGTTTAATTATAGGATCTTGTTTCTCTGTGTAATTTCCATAACTATGATAATTTGAGACACTTTGCTAAAAAACTTGATCCACGAAGAGAAGGTGGTGATCAGAGGGTAAGCAAAATTCTTATTTAGATTATTATGTAACTTTTTTTGAGAGAGAATATGAGGTTCACCAGTTTAAATAAAACTTACTTTAATTGTTAGTGGCCTCATATTTTTACTAATAACAAATGAGTAATGTTGAATTGTTGACGTTATCATCCTGGACATACATACTAAATATTACTGTTTTATTTAAACTGAAAGTGGTTAGCCTAGGAGCAGAGGTTCCTCCCCATTTTTCTGCTGTTTTAGCAGTATTTTCAAGAATTGACTCTGTTAAAAGAAAACATTGGAAAGTGCTGCATGCTATAAAGAGAAAACCTATTGCTGCTCTCAATATTTGTCAGTTATAGTCTCAAATTGAGTTTACTTTTATTTGGATGGATATGTAAGTGGAAAGGGATTATTAGTGATAGGCCTTACAGAGCTTCATAGTAAGTTTTATATGTCACTATAGATGAAATATTTTTCTATAGAAAGTGTTTAATGCAGTGTTTCTGACACTGTTAAAGTGATATTTGTTTTTTATCAGTGCGTTTGACTTCATATTTTTGCACATATATACTCCTTTTTAAAGGAGTCAGGACTTAAATTTCAGGAACAAGATTTTGTTTTTGTCTTCGTTGTTGTTTGCATTAAGGGACTTGTTTTGAATTTAAATTCCTTTGTATCCCAAGTGGAAATGTTTAGAATAAAATTACCTAACTAGACTTGAAGCTAATATGTGCGAAGCACTTATAAGTAGAAAAAAATTTTAACACATACTAAGTAAATTTTCCTATTATTAGTTTTAAAGTAACTTTAGTAATGTATGAGAATTATGCAAAGCTGACAAAAATAGAAACTTCCATGGGTGTCAACAAGAGTAACATGGAGCAAAACATCAGATGGTGGTGGGTGAAAATGCTAACAGATCTTAATAACATTCATCATTGAAAAATACCATTTTATAGCTTGGACCTTTCTTCACTCAAGTGCACTAATAAATTATGTATGTTGCTTGAACAACTAGCATTCCTTTGGACCATTGGACTATGAAAGTCTCCAACAAGAACTTGCTTTAAAAGAGACAGTATGGAAAAAAGTGTCACCTGAGTCAAATGAGGACATCTCTACAACTGTAGTATATAGAATGGAAAGTCTGGGAGAGAAAAGCTAAAGAAATGGGTTCTAGTTTCATAATGCTCTTCATTTAACCTTTCAAACATCTTTAGTTTTTTTTGCATACTATATTTATTGAGTTTTTTGTGCTTTCAACCTTCGGTGCTGGAGCCATAAGGCTTTTTTTTTTTTAAATCTTTGTGTAAAGTTAATAGATTAAAAAGTGGATTTGTCAGTCTTAAAAAATATAAATAAAGCAAATTTGCTTTATTTTTTTTTTAAATGAAAGGAAAAATTTCTTTAAATTTTTTCTTGGTGTAATTAAAATTTTAACTATATGTAGTCAAATAATCCCACTTTAAAATAATAGCAGAAATTGGTAATTTCTTGGTTCTGAAACTCACAGACTGAACTCATAAATTTTATCATATTTCTTTATTTTCCAGTTTTAAAATTGATATGGTGTCTCCAGTAGCAATATAAAGTATTTCTGTGCTAAATACAAAAGTAAAAAGACATAATTATGATTTCCAAATTATTTAATATAGCAGCAGATAGATTTGTTTTACTCTTTTATTTTGGCTTTAGATTTTTTAAAATTTATTTAAAATTCTGTCAAACACTTTAAAATATCTTTGCTTTTTCACTTTGCAACTCCTTTGTTCTGTCAGAATTGTTATGTACAGGAGTGTGTTATGTTACTAAAGCGTTCCAGCCAAAGAATTTCCGATGTAAGATAATGACATGTTTCACTATTAAAAACCTATAATGGTTACTCAGAAGGAGCAGCAGTGAGTGTCTTCAAGTGAAATATTTACCTGAACAGTTTTATTTTCATATTACCCACATAACTTTTTCTGTGTTATATTTAAGTGTGAATGGTGAATTTTGGTTTTTAGCTTTTAATAATTATAATAATTTCACAAATGCTAATGAACTTTTGCGATAAATTATAATTACATCTCATAAAGCTTGTTTTATTTGAACTCTTTAGAGTAGATAGGAAATGAATTCAGTCTGAAGGTAGTAAGTATGCTACTAAAATACCTGTTAGATTTTAATCCTTTTGTTCGGTTATAATAATGCAATATTGAGAATCAAAACTTGTTTTTAAGAGGACTCTAGGTTCTGCACAGCCTAAAGTTGAAATAATTCACAATGTTTAAAGTCTGTCTTGGCAAAGTAATTGTAAAGTTCTGTAGGATCCTATTGATACTTCTTCCTTCCTCCATGTACCTCTCTGTTTCTCCCCACAGTTCCCCAGAGCTTCAAGATTTCAGAGGGACAGGGATGGAGTCAGGAGGAGAACTTGATAGTTTCTTAGTATCATGGCATACATGTGGTGTAGGGTAAAGTCTAAAATAGTAATTACAGTGTAGCAAAAAATAATTTCCTGGATGGTTTAGATGCAAGTGAAAACACAGATGTAGAAAGTCTTGATTATATGAGTTTGGGAACTATGATATTAGGAAAAGAAGTTCTCTTCCAAACTTGTTTAAATGCCTTTTGGCCCAACTGAAGTATTAAACATATTTTAAAAATAATTATGCAGTAAGTTTTAGAGAATATTAGCCAAGGATTTTATGGCTAATTGTTCCTCTGATGTACAGATGCATATCCTAACTGGATGTTTCTGGTTTGGCCATTTACATGAGAGTGGTATGTCTGCACTCTCCATACCTTTATACCTTACCTCTGCTATACCTTTGAACAGTGTCATTCATATTAATTCACAGAGCTATTTGTGGTTTGGGGACTGAATGTCTTTAATTGGTAGTTTCCAAATAAAAGGCTCCCCTCTCCCACACTCTAATTGTTACATTTTACTGTTTCAATGGAGGTGGGTTTTACTTGATAAAATGAAAATTTCATGTTTCATATTATATCCACATTTGTACAGATTTCAAAATGATGTTAATTTTTGCCACTTACTATGTTGATAAGGCTTAAATACACACCAATGGAGAAGGGTTATCTAAGCTACTGTGTTTATAGAATCCTGTTAAAGATGAGCATCCAGAAATTTTTGTTGGCAGATATAAATGGAAGAAGAGAAGATATTGTGAATAGGTCCTCAAACTTTACTTTAAAAAAAAAAAGAGGAAAATCTTTGCCAGGTTTAAAAACATTATTTTGATTCTTTCAGTATTTTAAATACCTTTTCAAATAAAGTTATTGAAAAGTACCCAATATTGTTGAATTTAATGTCTTATGCCATTACTGATTCTTGATATTCAAGCATTTTGAAGTTAGCATATTTGTTTTTCTTTTTTTTCCACCATTAACATTTCATTTGAAATGCATATCCTTTCTGAAGTACTTTATTTTTAGCATAAATGTTGTGCATTTTATCTTAGTGTTTGGATTAATCCATTTGTGTTATTTAGCTTTCTTTTATTTGCTTTGTATATTAATGTACCTTTTATTTTCCAGTATGCCTACTTTTTGTATTGTATAATAAATTTATTTTAAGCTGATTTTATTGGTTTTTTTTAATAAAAGCAACTCCAGCATTTTAAGTATAACATGGAATTTTAACTTTAAAAGTCATGCTTTATGAAGATATAATAAAAATGCTTTATAATTTTAGTTAATTCTGAGACTAATGTGAAGAGAAACTATAGAAATACTCAAAGGCTTCATCTGATTCTCTTTTTTTAATGTAGTATAGTGTTGGTGGGTTTTTTTAACTTTCGGGGAGGACGTTTTTCAATTGGTTGTATTAGAAGTATTTGAATAAAGATTTTTTTCCTAATTTTTTTTTTTGTTGTTTTTCCACTTAACAACTTAGGGGGAAAAGCTCTTCTCCATTTACAGAATATTTCTGCTTTCTGAGCAAGAACATCACTGACTCACTATGTAATTGTTGCTTTATCAGTTGTCCAGAATAGGAGAAATGTTTCTAAAATCAAACAATATTATTGCATTAGAATAGAATTGTAAACCTCAGTAGAATTTATATTGAGTAGAAAAACTATAAAATTGAAATTCACCTTAACTACTTTTTAAGAAATTTAATTTTCAGAAGGAACTTAGTATAGTTCTACAGCATGGTGCAAATTATAAAGTATGTGCATTGTAGGTCAGATACAGTACTTTTAAGTTATTGTTTGATGAAATTTTCCATTCATATCCAGAGAAACATCCCAAATATATTGGTGGAGTTTTTAAAACTGTTTGAAGGGGAAATACTGTTGTTTATAGGAATTTCTATTTATCTGTGGGATTTTTTCCATAATGTTCTTTTGGGACTAGTAAATAGGGAGTTCCATTGTCATGTTATATTCAGTTTGTAAGTTTGTGATCACTAGCTTTTAAAGATACATTTGGGGTTGTTTTGTTGGTGTTTTTAGTCCCTTTGAAACAGGTAACTCAGCTTGGTCTGAAAGTATAGTTTTATAGGCATGTATGTGTGTGGAAAGAACCACTGAATATATGCTGATATTGTCAGTCTGTATCATGATAATTTATATAAATATATGTGAACGTGTATCTAATAGATGTCTATATATATTATCTGTCTTTATCCATCCATTCATATTCTGAAAATCAGTAGCAGTTACTTCTACACAGTATGTCCTGTATAAATGGTTCATTGATCTATTCTAGGTTCTGTTGTAGGAGAACTTTGAATTTTTGCTGACCCAGAACTTATAAAATATAGCATATTTTACTTGTTTCAGTTTACCTTTAAAGATATGTGGTTTCTGTTTTGCTCCCATTCACTACTAGCACTATCAGAGAGGATAATAATGATATTGGAGAACTCCACAAAAAGGAAAGCAAGAACATCAGATTTCATGTGGAAGCTGACTTTAGTTTCCAAAATTATTACATGGAAGGATTGTATACAACTTAAATAATGGACTTCTTAGTTACAACAGTTTACTCTATGGAATAATTTTATT